GAGAGACAGAGAGAGAGCGAGAGACAGAGAGAGAGAGAGAGAGAGATAGAGAGATAGAGAGATAGAGAGCGCGAGAGCGGGGTACCGGGGAGAGGGGGGAGAGGGAGGGGTAGAGGGAGGGAGGGAGGGAGGGACGGAGGGGAGAGGGAGGGGTGGAGGGGAGGGCGCAAAGGGCATTAAGTCACTCATTGATTGCGCGCGAGTTTATGCCGATCGGGTTGCATTATTTGCACAGAGACGACTGAAGAAAAACCTAGGTTTGAAGATTACAGCAAGGAGCTTGATCAGCCACATGTCAAGCCCGTGTGTCCTGTGCTCCAGCTGCGAAGGAACCGGCCTTAATGCACTCACTGTTCGAGTTTCGCGGCGTCTCGAGAATGCAAAGACTGGCCAGCGCAGAAATAGGTGCTTTGGCTAGTGGCAGCACTTTAAGCCGGACTGGTAAGTTGGCGAGCAAGCCCAAGCCTAAGTGCTTTGAAACCTCAGCTTCGGGCGAGAGGAGCCAAACCGACAGAATGTCTCACTTTTGTGGCTTTGCTCGACCAGGTCGGGCGAGGTTTGCGGAAGCAACCAAAACACAAGGCTCCTTTCGAGCCCACAAACTCTAGCGACAAAGAGAGTGCTATTGCAACCCACATACTTACACAGCCCGACAGCACCACCGGTGCACTCAAACAACACCGGGGGTAGGACGACACAGGATCGCCCGTCGTTGGCAGCTCAGGACCTGCTCTGCAGCCCACAAAAGTCTAGCATGGCACGTCCACACATGCGCAGAGTCGAGAAATGCGGTGTGAGTCTCGCAACCGGCACCCGTATTGCTTTAACTTTGCAATCCGAGGATCCCAGCCCAATCAATGCTCTGCAGTGTCGTTATGGAATTTTTAAGAACTAATAACTTACCAGTAAAGGCAATGGCAAGGTATCAAAGAGGTCGCATGCCGACTTTGCCTCCCTATGAAGTATTAGAAAAAGTGCGTCTGGAGCAATGCCAGGAAGTTATGGAGTTTGGCCGGGCTTTGAAGAACGACATCTCTGCTCCAATGCCTGGCTGGGGCTCATCCTTCGACCTTAGTGATACGGACGTCGGGATGCAGAAGGTCCGAGATGCAGTTCAGGGTCGTGAAGCCATGAAGCGGCAAGGTGGCCAGCAACATTGAATGCGCAAGTGGCAGAAATCTCCAGGTCAAGTCCGCGCAATTGCTACCAGATTCCACTGCAAGTGTTGAGACCATTCATACCTGGAGTGACTCAAGGTTGCGGCTGCTTCTTGGATGATGACCTTGCAGCACCTTCCAAAGAAACGACACACCATCAAGTTTCATTGATTCATGGACTGCAGGCTCGAACCCTCCAAGGGTAGTGACAAAGCCCGCACACCGGAAACGGGATCAATAGACCGAAGACCGTCCTTCACCAAGGTTGGAGGGTGTTGCTGCCACGTGTGAAATCGCAGGGAAGCTCACGAGTCTCGACTAGATGAACTGCTTTTCGGCAACAGCTGAAATGCCCATTCCTTCCGACCCATTTCCGCTGCGCTGCCTCTATAGCAAGCAAATGCAATTCGACCAAACATGTATCGGACACTGCTGCGCCGACGTCTGGCCTTCGTGATAGGACCCCTGGTCGTCTGGCACCTACACAAAGGCAAAGCTCTGATGCGCTCTGCACAGTTCGCATGAAAGCCTTCCCAAACACGCTTTCCATGCGCAGCAGAGGGGCCCCAATCTATCTAAAAGAGCCAACCCTGACTGTGTGGAGACATTACTGACAGTACTGAGCATCAGCATCCTAAGATTTACGGACGACTCGATACCATGCCTAGGATGTTTGACATCTTGCGCAATGGCGGTGAGCACTGTGTATGTCTACCCTTGGGTTCCCAGTGGATGAACTCACAATACCAAAGACCGGTACTGTAGAGTTCAAAGAGCTCCGGGGCCGATGCTCCGAGCGCGTCGCGCATGGCCTCGGCCTTGGAACAGGGTGGCCGGAACGCGTGCGCCACGTTTGCCCCGTCAAACTTGTACTTGCTAACTCCGAGAATGACATAGCTCTTTAGGAGATCAGACATTCTGCTTTCTTATGAATGCTTCAGCCTGGCTGAGAATGTGGCCCAGTCTTTGCTGTGTGTTTGCCCCGCCTGGAAGCCTGACTCCGAGATTCGGAGCTCAGAAACCAAATAACTGCACCAAACACCGTCTCAAACAGAAACTGCACATAACATGAACACCTCTCAAGTGCCACGTGACCTACATAGTCTTTCATCTTTCTCCGAAATGGTGCCTTTCCGAGCATTGGATTCCTCCGAACTGTCTTGCGCCTACGCGCTTGTTCGCAACGACCTCGATGGCTGGCCTCACACTGATGAACATAGTCTAGTGAGGAAGTGCAACTAACGGCTTATTCAGCAAGCAATTTTAACAGAGGTTGACAAGACTTGATCAGTCTGACCGGGGAAGCGAAATAGCACCCTAATTGAACAAAAAACTTAATGATGTTTCCAAATCAGAGTCAACTCTTGCTAACCAGTGGCTGCTACTTCCGATCACTGCAAAAGAAATCGGTCAATCTCTTAAAACTTGGAGGTGGGGACAGGATCTGCAACTAAACAACAGCAGCACGTGAAGCTTGTTCCGTTGCGACTTCTGCTGGCTCGCAATTTGCTCCCTATGTCCTATGTTACGGGTCCGATGTTCCTCTTTCCAGCACTCTTCGAAGCTGGAGCGCGCAACAATGGAAACCGGACGGGAGTTTGCAGTCGCAGCCCGAGTGGCTCCGAAGCTCGCCGTGGCCGCGGCTGCAAAGCTGCCTGCGGAGACTTCAGCCACGATGTCTTCTGCAATGCATGTGTTAACCGTCCGGAAAACGTTGCTTGGTGAAGTGCTGTGCCAGGAGAGACGGAAGGATTTTATAAACTGAGGAGAAATCCAGGACGAAATCGACCCGTATACATTGTATCTCAGTGGCCGATGCTCAACATGCACCTGCACGGCCTGCATTCCACGATGACCTGCTCGCTGATGTTGAAGGGCTACAACTCGCACAGCGCAGATCCCTGCAGATCCACGCATAAAACCTCGCTGCCCCGCAGCATGGAGAACACTCCTTGCCTGAAAACCTTGGAACCAAACCCGCATGCATGTGTTTGCTGCACGACCTGTCTGTATCTGCATCTGTCTGCCTGCCCATGGCCCGCTATCCTACCCGCTCCATCTGCCCATCCACGAAACAGCAATGCCCCTGAATGTACAAAGGACTCTGCACGACATCTGCATGCTTGGACCTGGTCTTCTGCCACTTGACGCCTTGGTCACGGCACAAGCCAGGAAAGAGACAGTCTCTCTTACAACCTCCAGACGGACCTACGGTGTGCCCGACTACAACGGCAATCGGACCCAAAGGCCAAGAATTCACAACAAGAACCCACGATTCTACGACTCTGCCTCTTCCTGCATTGAGTGCCTTGCGCCGAAGATTGGGCAGCCTGCCGTAGCCTGCCAACCCCATACCAGATTCTCAACAGTTTGGGAAGCGACCCCTCTACACATGCATATGCAGTCTGCCAAGCGCATCGGACATTTCCCGTCGTGGCAAAGCCGACTCCTTGTGCCCACAAGTGTTTCTGTCATTGGCGCCTAGTGCATGCTTTCGCCGAACTTCTGTCACTGCTTGAGCAATCGGAAAGCAGCAAAGAAAAGCACGGCAACAACAATCGTACGATTCGCGACTCTTGTTTCCGCGATTTCTTCCCGTGTGCTTTATGCTTTGCTTGCGTGGATGCGTTTCGTGTGGACTGCCTCGCGTCTTGGAGATGCTGTGGAAAACTGGGACAACGTGCTTCACGACACCTAGCAGTACTCGGCCACTGAGCTCTCGTTGAATTCCTTCCGGGGTCCCCACAGCTTTGAGGCTTTGTCTCCAGTCACGAGCCGAGACCTGGGCCATACTCGATTCGGGCTCGGGCTGCAGGCGTTTACCTTCAAGTTCAAACCATACAAAACGAAGGCTACAACAGTTTAAGCCATGTTTAAGAAGTTTAAGCCCCTAAGAGATTTGCAACATTCTGGCAGCTATTTGACCCGCAGCTTTTCTGAAGTGCAAGCCGCAGCGATCGGCCAAGTTTAAGCAGGGACGAGCAATCCCATCTCCTCATAACTGTCCGAATATGCTGCGTGGTAGTCATGGAAAGGGGGTAGGGTCGTCAGGCATAAAGGAATCTGAATTTTGCATGTATGTGAGACGATGGGTGATAATGGCAAAATTCTAATGCAGGGGTCTTCCACAGACCACATCTTTTAACCAGGACATCTGTGCTCTCACGACACCACAGACCTGCAGAGTGTTCACAAGGTTCCAGTCGGTGAGCTAAAGCTTAGACGACCAGCTTCAAGAATTGGCAGGCAAACTTTTGTACTCAGCACAGCAAAGGAAATGAGTACACGCGAATCAACAACCTGGATGTAATCCCCAAGCCACCAGAGTCACCAGAAAGTCCGGACAAAATCCGTCGAAGACCTGTCCAAAATCTGCCGCAGCTACTTCCAAAGGTTCGAACATATTTCATTCCGAGGGCGTTCGAAGCAACAAAGTCCAGCTTTGGAACTTTGGAAAACTCGACGATCATGAGGATACTTCTAACTGACTCTAACCGTCGTCGTCATCCTCATGCACCTCAGCAAGTCCCACTAGGATTGGCGAAACCGGGAGGTCCGATGTGCGGACGATCCGTGAAACAAGTACGGCAACAAAGATGATCAGCGATGCTACTTTTTCAGCCAGACTTCATCCGTTTCCCAGCAGATGTATGGCTGTGCATCACAACTGAACATGCCAATGAAGTCTGCATCTCCACGGATCACCTTCACCTCGGAGCAAGCACTGTGACACTAGGAGAACTCAGAACCCGGAGGATTTCAATCTGGGATTCTGCGCCCGATCACCGAATCTGAGCTGTCTGAGTGAAATGACTTCCCACGGTGCAGGGCAGCCAACTCCTAGCATCCATGCGGCGAAGCTGCGGTGTTGGGCGGTACGATTTCCAACTTGGCCATCGGAGGATCAAGCTCCCACAAGGCACTCCAAATCATGTAGTGGCTGCTGATTTCTCCGACATGAAGGTTGTTGTCCTGAGTCTTGAGACACGCCCCCGCTACTACAGTCGTCATGTTACTGCCAGGCGTCTGCAAGACACAAGGAGGCAAACCTAACTCTTTGTTGCCACAAACTCGGCCGAGTCACGAACGACACCAACTCGTCACATCCAACTAGAGGACAGGAGATCCGGAGACGAGATCTAAGTGGAATTTACGAGTGGTCTGGGCCTGAGCCTGTTCCGAACAGGTTGAGAGATCTGGCCAAGGATCTGCACGGTACCAGCTGCCCTGCAGCGCTGTCCAATAATCGGGGCGTGCGTCTTGTTCGCTTGGCGATAGAACTGAGTGAGCATACTCAAGAGCCAAACCGGCCTGCAGCATGAGGTTTGCAAAGATATGTACAGTATTCTTGCATATCCTGGCTCTGGACATGTGACAGCACATCAACGCCTGCTGCACACACCTCGGGCCACGGAAGGGCTGGCAGCCCGTACCCCAGAAGCGACAAAATGCGACAACCGACTGGCTCGGCCTCGTCCTCGTCGGTTTGGCAGCATGTTGACGAGACTGATCCCATGTTGGCTGCAGGAGGCTGGCAGGATGCCGTGTTGCCTAGTCATGGCTGCTGTCGCCTCAAATCGCGGAAATTTCTGGCCGTTGTGTGATGGCACAGGTCCAAAGTGCAGTGAATGAAGGAACACATAAATGACTCACGGAAGCTATCTGATCAGAACCAACATGGCCAAAACAGCGCAGCAGTGTTTTGAAATTAGCACTCGCGGCACGGCAACGGCCCTGGGCTGTACTCTTTGATGCGGCTTGCTGGGAATATCCCCTCGCGCCCCCGATCCCTCCCGCGCTTCTTGCACAAATACACAAATATAGCGACATGATGTGACATGCCTACCTCATGCATACATGTCTTGCAGACTGTGCAATACATACGCATGTCTTTCTAATGCATGCACACACCCAAATCCATGTCCAATCCGTCCATCCATTGATACTATGCATACCATACCACCTCGTGAACCCCACGCTAGCCATGTATTCAATAACAAATTTCCATCGTTCCAGATGCATCGAGATTCCCAAGTTCCACAATTCGCCAATTGCAAACTCTCCGACACTCCCATTTCAAAGATCCATATACAAGCAGCCATCATCTGTCGCACCGCTATGGCAAGTGCATTACAGACTCGCACTCGGCCCCTCGACAAACCAAACAGGTAACGAACAACGTGCCGCAGATTAAAGAAGCTGACCTGGCTTCATTAGGGAGAAGGCGTGGCGTCGTCTGGATCTTCCGAAGCAGGGTGAGCACCTGGAAACCAAGACTGCAACTACGGTCAAAGCTGGAGACATGATGCTGTTGGATATATTTCGCACTCTTAGTTTGGCCCAAAGGCTTGTGCCACTCAGTGGCTGCTGCATGCAATGACACTCTAGCCAAATACTGGCAGCCCTGCCTGCGGCAGGACGCAGACTTGGCCTGGACTCAGGCAGATGCGAAAGCATCTGTTTAAGGCCACGGAGGCTCTGGCCGGAACAACACACAGCCGAATACGTCAAACGACATCCACACCGAGGTGTCAGCCTCGAAAACAGACTTTCAAGCAAGCATCGCGTTTCAACGCAGCATTCATCACGAGCAATTGGTGCGGCTCTGGACTCAATCGCTTAGCATGCTCACATGCACCCAAGTGCCGGACATGTTGGCAGGTCGCATGGGTGACTTGACCCCATCCATATTGGGGTTGGCCTCGTCAGGGCGAAACTCAACAACGATATGCAGACTGCAGAGGACACTTGCGCCCGGGTTGGGTAGAGGACCCGCAGGTGCTGTGGAGTGGGACTCCATGAAGAATTAGATCTTAATGTCTACTGCTTGCATCTGCGGGCAGTGTTCTTATAAAAGAGGACCCGAATGGGATTGCTCCCGATGTTCATGGCCCAAATCCGGAAGATGCCGCAAGTCTCCCCAAGTCTGGACGGGCAAAAGAAAGCATCTTATACTGCGAGAGACACTCGGAAGGAGACTGAAGCAAGAATCAGCCGCCAACACCACTGCAACATGGCGGGTAGCGAGATTTTGATTTTGGACTATGCTTGACTGTTTGACCTCCTGGCAGCCTGGCAGCGTTAAGGACTGCTAAATTTGCCATACATGAACATACTATAGTCTGCGGTGTGCCTGCCACACGGCGCCTGGAACCTCCCCTTCGATGTGCGCGGCCAGAGGCCTCACTCACGGAAGAGACGAACCAAAAGCGAGAAAGGCCCCAACGCAACGTTCCCAGCCAGGGCTTCGAAACACATTCGCCAACCACGTCCGGTCATGATGCAACACACGCACCGGATCGCACCAGCACACAAGGTTTCATGTGCAACAAAGCCTCTGTCGCAGCACTCTCTTCCGACTTCCACTGCTTGTCTGATTGTATATATTTATATAAACTATATCAATATCGTCGACACCAGCCATAAGAAGAGGCAGAAGTAGCGAGCACGACAAGCTTCAAACTGTCTCACCCCCAGCTAAGTACTCGACACCACATTGTTCGACCTGCGCCAGGTCGCCTTGCGCGCAAGATGCAGAACAAAGATAAACAAAGCTTATCCGTTTTTTATCAACCCATGCTCGGAAACGTACAAAAAGACGGTAGCATTCGTTCAAAAGCTGCCAGCACTTCAGTGCCACGAGTGAACTAGCATGAACACACAGGAGGAACTAGAACAGTTTGTGCAATCGAGTATACGTGAAAGTGTCTCTCTCTCTCTCTCTTTCTCGCTTGCTTTTGTCTATGCCCCACCCCTGTCGACATAGAAGGAAAAGATCTGAACATGCCCAGCCAGGGAAATGGGGGCGCAAGCCACATGCTGGAGTGCCGCAGGGAAACCTCATGTCTCAAGTTGCCCTGAGCATGGATGCATTCGCAAAGTAAACCAGGTCAGATTGTGATTATTGTTGGATTGCCGCATCAAGGATCAATCCCTACGACGGCCGCGGCCTGCGTAAGCCCCGAAGCATCAGCACTCTTGCGGAAGGGATTCTCGGGCTGCACAGGAGCCGGCCTCGGGTTGGCCGTGGGATCGTCGTGTGTGCATGTTCTGAGGGAAATCTGGATCTCCGAACTTTCAAGACCAGGTTGTGTTCGCCAGGCAAAAGGCTGTGCTCCGATTTCCAATCGCGCAGGAGACAATTATCAACCTCACATGCTATGATAGCTGATAGCACTCGGAAAGACCAAGCAAGCACCGGCTTGGGACTTGCTGTGCTCGAGGAAATAGAAGTACTTGGGCCAGTGCGGATTCTCCTCCTCTAGCTCCCCTGGAGCTCAGACCAAGACGGAGAGTGGGCGATGTAAAGGCACGGCTTAGAGTCCAGAGTGGTTCGTGCATGTCATGAAAGTCATTGCATCAGCAAGAAGCTGACGTCAACGGACAACAGGCCCCAGTACATGGACAAGATTCGGAGGTGTCTTGCGCCCTCCCCTCTCTTCCTAACCCCGGAGTTTGAATCAATGGGATCAACGTGCGATATGCCGTGGCCCGCCTTCGTCTGGTAGGGACTCTGTGCTGCCGCTGGGCAAGGGGGCCTGTGAGCTGCTGGGCTTCCTGCTTCTTCTGAAAACACGGCTGCCGCATGTGTATCCATCTACATCTAAAACTGTGTATAAAAAATAGACACCACACACGTCGAGCGGGCGTATACATACACAAAACTTGTTTCCGCTGCTTGTCAGTATTCGAGGCGACAGGTTCGACATGATCCAGTACAGGAAGGAAGCCGTCGTTGAGTCGAGGGCAAAGAGCAGCTCCAAGCGACCAGCGGCCCAAACTGCGGTGTCCTCCAGAGCCTGGCTTTACCCGTAGACCCCTTGTAGTTCCTTGTTGGGGTTACCTTATAGGATTCTGTATATGAACGCCCAAAAGGAACTACTTTAGGGCCTATGGGTACATGCCAATGCACCTTCCAATCTCTCTGCCCGTACATGCATGCGCTTGTTCTAGGGGTGACCTTTTTCAAGGCTGAGCTTGCAAAGACCTTGCTTCGACATGATCTTGCTGACATGAAGGCGCTTTATCACTGCGAGCGAGTCCTGAACCTTTTGGCTCGACGATCCTTCTCGAACCAGCCGCATGCTCTCTCTGCACCCGAACACGTTTCATTAGAAGGTGGGGCTGACATCACCGGTGCCGGTCGAGACCCCGGCAGCATCCGTAGAGCTGGAGAGGCCTCGGCATGCAAACACTGCGAATCGAACCCCCAACCGAATTCCGTCGCTCTTGGTTTTCACAACCTTCCGAAACAATGATGCGGAGACTGACACCTGTCGAGAAGGACTCCTTCGGTGGTGCTCGCCACGCTATGTGTTGCCTCGTCGATAAACACTAATGCGCAATGCACAAATTCGGGCCAGCCATGGCTAAGGCTGCCGGTGTCCCCTCGCAAGTAGCCTCGCTTCCCATACCAGCACGTGTGTGAGAGCCTGCTGAGAAGCGGGCAGCCCCACGTGGTGGCAGCCTGCTGCTAGTGCTACAGACTTCAAAGCATACCGAAGCACAACGAGCTGTTGTGTCAGGCATCGGCTTATAGACATAAAAGCAAGTCAGACAAGCCCGTGCATCAGCAGTTTCGAAGTTGAAAGTTATTCTGCCTGAACTGTAAATGCAAGAGTCTTAGTCTTCATTTCAAGTACACAGTGCAAAACAGCTGCGGCTGCCTAAAGCCTTGAACAAAGTCTCGATAGTCCCTGTGCTCCGTACCCAATCGCCTCCCGAAGTAGCTGGCCGGAGGGGGCATTCAAAGCCTCAGTGTTTCCGCCCAGTCTATCTCATCGTGCAAGACATCGCAAGACTGAACTCATCGAAAGCTCGCACAAGCATGGTCCGCTATGAAGCAGGGCCCCGCACGCGGGAGAGCGCATCTGGTTCGTCACCAAAAGAGGCAAGGTGCACCACAGGCAGCAGCTTGGGACCTTAGTCGTGGCAGGGGACTCGACTCTGGAAGCCGTCGTCCCCACTTCATGGCCTCATGACCACTGCCGCTCGGACGGCATCGATAGTTGTCTGAAAGGCTACATGGCTCGTTTTTTAGCACTCAAGTAGCGTGCACTTTACCTGCTCAAGTAGCTCTTCTGAAATAAACCGAAGAGATGACACCCCTACAAGTCGAAGACTAAAGCATGACTGCGCCTCCCGACTTTCCTGTCGGATATCGAGTGCCTTGAAGTACACCTGAATCTGCCCGACATCACTCGTTTTTCTGCGAGGAAGTATACGGCTGTCTTCAAGAATCGCTTGAGCACGTGACCTGTACAAGTGTCATGTAGTGCTATCCATAATCGAAAAGCTGACTGCATGGGCCCCTCAGCCGCAAGCAGTCGCACTGCACATCAAGGGTCGAAATCCATGCCAAATCTGCACTGTTGGCAGAGACTCACCATAGGCCACTCGGCTAAGCACCTGCAACCACTTATTGCGCCACGGCAGTCTCCAAAATCACGTCGGCAGCGCGCTTGACGCCACCCGCCGACTGCATCTGTTTGCTGAGGCCCTGGGCCACCTGGCGGAAGGAGTCGCCATCCAGAAGCTGCCGGATCGAAGAGCGCAAGGCACCTTCTGTCAGTGTCTGCAGAGGCGACACGAAGGCGATCCCGGCACCCGCTCGGGCGATGGATTGGCTATTCAGGACCTGGTCTCCCCAGAGCGGCACGCAAACCAAGGGGACTCCGAAACTCAGCGCCTCGTGCATGCTGTTAGCACCACAGTGCGAAAGGAAGGCGTGGCACTTGGGCAGAAGTTCAAGCTGTGGTACGGCCTCTTGAATAATGAAATTGGAAGGTGGGGTGGGCAGGTCATCAAGCACATCAGGCTGACAGCCTGCAACCAACACAACGAGGAGGTCCTCCTCTTCCTTTAGTGCCCCGAAAGCCGTACGGAAGACGTACTGAATGATCTCTTTGCCAGTGCAATTCTCCAAACCATTGCTGAGAGCCTGGGCACCCAGCTTCTTGTCCCATTTACTGGAGTTTGCGACAGTGCCAAGCGAGATCAGTACAAGGCGCTTTGATGCAGCGAGAGCCCCGTCGATAACATCCCAGGGCAGACCATTGCCCGGCTTCGGCCCCGCGTCGCAAACAGAGGGATGAGAAACCCTCTTTACTTTCGCATCCAGAAGGGGTCCCACGCATGTGAAGGGAAAGTTGCCGAATCGTTCATGCTGCATGCCCGGCGCCGGTGGCGCGAAAAGCTCGTCTATGGTAGTGACAATTGTGCACTGCGGGGAATAGAACTCCATCAGCCCACCGCATTCGAAAACGTCCACGCCATGCACGTCCTGAAGCTGAACTACCCTCCACTCTACGGGCAACTCCAAACAAGGGACACAATCTAGTGGTAACTCATTATCGGGCTCAATACGTCGAGCCGGACAACGTTCAGCTTGCTTCTGCTGGTGGTGGCAACAGCTTGTCATGTCGATCTAGTTAAGTGCTTTTCAGGTGGGTCCTGGATCTCCTGGCGTGCCCTGCGAACCACCTCGTTGGACTCCCACTTTGCAGTCACTGGTGCCGGTCGCGCCACCACACCCGGGCCGGGCATAGTCATGGTGCTCACAGACGGGATGCCCAAGACCCGTGCAGCCACAAAGCCTTGTGGTAGGAAAGGGTCGTACACGATGGCCGTGGCTGGGAGGCTGAGGCCTTTCAGCTCGGAGATCAGCTCAGGCAGCTGGGCGGCCGCCACGGGCATGGAGATGATGGGGAAGCCGTACTCCTCCGGCGGCATACCCTCGGGGACATACTTCGCTTTCTGCTCCTCGGTGAGGACATGCATGCCCCCCATGGGTTTCCAGGCTGCTCCCGCTGCCTCGACCACCTCCCGCATCTGAGGTGGAACGAAATAAGTCACGGCCACACCTCGCGAGCGCAGTTCAGCTACCAGCGGTAAGGTTGGATTCATATGTCCGGCGGATGGAAGGTTCAGGAACACCACGTGCTGCACCATGACGGACGCCTGTGTTTTGTCGCGAAAAGGCACAGTTCAAGGCTACCAAAAAGTGGAAAGCTGAGACGGCTTTCTGCTAAATGGCATCGTGTTATGCAGGCAATGCCCGATCATCTTGACACAAGCGGTTTCTGTAAACTCGCACTACTTCATGCCTTTATTCTAGGGCTACAGATCGTGCCCTCGACACTACACGTCTCCTCTCTCAACCAGAGGCACGACTGAGACCGCGGCCCAAATGCATAGCTCGCAACCGGAAGACAGTGCGTAGCGCTGCAACCTTTCGAGTGAGAAAGCCAAGTATTCCGGAAAATGTTGTGGCTGCATGGGCCACTTTTTGAACACTTTTGCGTGCTTTTAGGAATGCACTTGGACATGGCATTTCAAATGCAGCAGACGGCCCAAAGGCTCCAAACCTCATCTGAGTATATATACCTTTGACTCACGGAAAGCCTAGGCGCTCCGAAAAAACAACTTGAAGACATGCTGGCATTCAGCATCGTGCTCGAAAAGGCTTCCTCAAAAAATCACGCATGCAGTTGCCCCGAACTGACCTGGCATGATAAATCGTTTGACCTCTTGCTTGCCAGTGCCGCTTTTGTGACGACGCAGGCTCTGACAAGAAATGTATCAGTGCAATCTGCCTCGAGCCTTAGCAAACGGATACGGACTTGATGGCCCTGCACCGTAGTGACCATGCAGATTGACGGAGCTCGAACATGCCTACACACGAGTGTGTGCGCCATGGACTCTCGTTCTTGGCTCCCGGCGCCAGCCGGTGTCAAAAGCCACTGAGGCGTGACTAGTGGGATGAGTGCCTCTGGGCGATGCTTAGCTTGCAGTCGTTGTTGCTTCGCCATTGTTGTTGTGGCTCTTGGCGGTGTTCTACTCCGTCGTACTTGGTTCTTCCGTTGCAACGAGCTTCTACTTGCGCTTGTTCTTGTTCCGGTCAAGGCCGTGGCAGGTGTTATAGCGACGGCATCGCTGATCGTCCGGGCGTACGTGGCTTGTAGTGCTGCTACTGCCGCTGCTGGTTCATGAGGTAAGATGATTTGATCTGATGCAGCCTCGGTCCGATGTGGGGCTGTTGGTTTTCGAAGCGGGCAAGGGGGTGAACAACAGGACGACACGTTGCCATGCCGAGTCAAGACTCAATGACCCTTAGCATGCCAAATATCCCAAACCAATAAGCACTATCTGCAGCCGCCTCGCATTCCGGAACGGCCCAACCTCCGTTTGTCAGGCGCGAAAGACGCACCTTCCCGATGGCGCCAAGAGAGTTTGGTTGATGGGACAAACGTATAAAGTTGATGCAACGAGCACCCACCCTACCTTGAACACAGATCCCAAACTCGGCGATTTTGAATACCCTCGCTTGAAACAGTCCCTTCCCGGCCATCAGCTCAGAAGCCGCAGCCCACCAAGCCATGACAGCAACCACGTCTAGAGTCTATGGAATCTTTGCCACTAGACTGAGCAAGATGGATTTCGAAGGTCCTCTCAAACAGGCAAGCCCCGTTCCCGACCAGTGCCAACAAAGACATTGTGGTGCCTCTGCACTCTTGAAATTTCTCCGAAGCCTTCTCGAAGATCCAAGCCTGAAAGCTGTTCGGTCAAGGAGCTTCTCAAACACAGTCTTTTCTTCAGCGAGAGTTTGGGAGGTTCTGGGCCTTCCTCCATGAAGGAGTCCCGGATTCGGGGAGTTGGGAGTGTGCCTGGAGGAAGCCATGCGCTTTGTGTCAGCAGAGAAACCGACACCGACACCTTCATGCTGCACCAAGGCCCGAAGGATGAAATGGGCAGATCACTAGATCTCCTTGCAAGATCTGACAATGAAAGTCCAAGAAACTACTCCCTCAAGAAGCTAAGCCAGAATTTCTTGCGAATGCTTGCACCCCAGAGGGCCAAGATGCGACACGCAGCATAAACCCGGAGAGTCAGCCTTTTGCTCAGGTCCTCGATGAGCATGAGCCCTAGGCCCTGCACCAAAATGGAAGCTTTTTATCGCTCTTGGCTCCGAGTATTCTTGAGCTGCACTCTCAGACTCGAGCTACATTTCGCTGCACCGCAAAGCTGATACTTGTAGCTAGTAGTATCTTGAACGCGGGCATCCGGGCTCTAAGACTCTAGGATGTTTCAGTTGCTACATTCATACGCGTCGTAGCACATAAAATGGAAGTTGATTGGTGCCCGAGCTGGGCAGTGGCATCTCCATCCAGGACCAAGACAAGTAGTGCCACGTCGAACCAGGAATATTCTAAGATCCCCACTATTCACACAGCCATGTGGGGACAGACTGCGGGATTCCAGAGCACTGCCGTACCTCGAACCAAGATAGCTTCGAGCCTCTGCTACAGCGATCCTCGGGAGTTTACATACTTTGCCAGGAGTCACAGACTCCGCCGCGCCTCACAGTCGGAGTCAACCCCCACGAAGACCTGCACGGCAGATTCTTTCAATTCGCATTGCTGTGCCTTGGGAAGCGCTTTCGAAGCTGTGCTGGCCCAAGGCACACACACACACACACGCACGCAACCACAGGCACGCATGCACAAGCAGCAAGCACAAGATCCAAAAGTCTCAGCGCCCTGCGAAAAGGGACTGCGTGGGAGCAGGGCGAGCCTGTCACAATCCAATCGCTCCGGATAATTTTAGGTTATGGTGCAGACTGTATACAAACGGACAAATGCACGTAGTTATGCATGTATGTATGTGTGTATGTATGTATGTATGTATGTATGCGTGTATGTATGTAGGTGTATACACACGCACACACACACACATATATATATATATATAGATATAGATAGAATATATACATATAAGTGTGCGTGTGTGAGCACAGCGTGTGTCATTGCACAGCAATGCGACTAGCTATGTACGTGTAGCAGAGATGGCAAGCACATGATGCTACATGTGAATACAATGCAAAGGAGACACATGCACCGAACGCAGCGAGAGAGAGAGAGAGAGAGAGCGGAAAGATAATTTGTGTGCAATGTATGCCGTTTGACTTATGTTACGATACTACTGTAACATGTGCACCTGCCCGTGCATGTTGCTTGTCTCTTGTGTATATAGCATTCGGGTACAGTATGTTTGGGTGCCCGATAGGTGTCCTTGCTTACGAGGCCATGTTCGACAGGTGCTGTGAAGTCAACCGCATCCTCCAGCCAAGCTCGTCAGCGAAGTTCTGAAGGAAATGTGAGGGGAACAGGCTGGCCATTCTTGCTTCGTTCGTCTGAGTGGCGAAGACCCCGGTTTCTGCTGTGGACTCCAAAAATTCTTGAATCTTCGCCGTACTTGTGCGGATATGCCAGCGCGATTTATGCTGTTGGGATCTGTTCGTCGCTCTGTACTATGCTAACAAGCCACAGAACCGTTCCTACAAGCCACAAGCAACAGGCTGTTTTGGACCGTTTTGGACCTACAAGCCCGCTGAGGCACCCCTCTTGCCAAGATCAATCAAGGCTGAGAGGAGGTGCAAGGTGAAACGTTCGTGCGGTGAGAAAGGCTACACATGGCAACATGCTGATTTTCCGGCCAGAAATTGTCGCCAACTTGCTCCAGTCGTCCTTTATGCCTTGTATTCCACAAACTGGCGTCAAGTGAACTGCTAGTTGCAACTGCGTATATAAGACCCAACAAACGGGCAAATGTTGTCCGATGTTGCGAGGCTAAAGGAAGTGTGGCCATTCAGCATGATCGCCCATCTTTTGCTACCGGGCACCCAGTGGCACCGCATATGGCGACAGCTTCAAGCGAGTCTCCAGCGGCAAGCAGGACATGACCTGGTTTGGCTTCCAGGCTCACCAGAACTAGACCAGCTTTCGACACGAGACCCGAGAAGCGCATTCGAACACATGGGCCTGCAAATGTGACGACGGATACCGGACGTGACCGTTCCCACTGTCGGAATCAAATATTCCAGAAAGCGAGCCGCGCAGGTACCCACTACAACTCTGAACCTCTGTCGCTCGTCATGTCAAGGATTATAAGACTTGCCAAGAGGAGCCCCTGGAGAAAGCGCCTCGAAATACTGCTGCAGCTGCAATTCTGGCGGCTGCTTTCTCCTGACAAGACTGCGTGGGGTTGAGGTGCGGTATCTTGCCTTCTGACAGGCAGTTGTGTTCTGCAGCAGCAGACTCGACGACACCACATAACAAAAGTGTCCATCCCGCATGTCCGGGCATTCGAGATACGGTATGACACGGTACTCAGGCTGGGCTTTTTGTGGCTCATATTTTCTTGGCCAGTGTCTTCAGCATCTTCCCCTTCCGGGCTCATTCCGGACCGAGCCAGCGGGCTCCAGGTTCGGAGGTCCAGGCTTTAGGATGGATGAAGCCCTCCCTCCGAGCGGAACCAGGAAGTGGTGCCAATTGCAGCAACATCAGGTCCGTTCTACATGCTAGGACTAGGAGTATCACAGAGTCCCCCACCCACTGCTACAAGGACAGTCTCAACCTTGGAAACTCAGCTGCACTCGCTGCGTGCTAGAGTCTGTGCTGCACTGCCCGTGGCCGGTAGCGGATTCGACACGCTCGCCAGCCAGGAGGCCTGTCATGTGGGTTTCTATTGCTGGAGTGGAGACGACTTCGGTGAGCGATGTCGACTGAGGTCAAGTACAGGTGCTAGCAGAAACATAGACCCTGTGCTCATCTGCCGCAACAGCTGTGATTTCGCATCTACAGTACTGACTGGATGACCACCACGAAGAATTAGAGGTTCTCAACGTACCTTGAATCCAAAACGCCACCAGCAAGTCCCTCTCGGCCCCCGCCAGTCCTCATCCACTATTGTCATGAAGATGACCAGTCATACCCGTGCCTCTTGGCCCAAACTGTTGGCCTTCTCCTCATCCCAGGTCCGCTCTGTAAATCAAAGCCACCCCTCGAAAGATTTAAACCCAAGACAAACTATACGAGTCGCTGAAATAACTCTTTGGCATACCATACATAGTCCGTGGTTGTAGCGCAATGATCTGCGCATATACACAGAAATCATAAACAAGGTCATAAAACAAGACAGGAGGGAAGAACTACAGTAAGACATGCAGAACGACGACATAACGAAAGGCACAAATCACAAAAGTCAACAACAAAACGACCTTACGCTTATGCTTTCTTTCTGCCGTCGAGCGTCCCGCATCCCGTTGGCCCGCCAGAACACCCGTTGTGTTAGTATGTAGGGGGGCTTTGGGGCTCTCACACTTACTCTCTCACTCTCTATATACATCTACCCATAGGCCCCATAGTAGTTCCTTCTTGGGGTTACCTTATAGGATTCTATATATGAACCCCCCAAAGGAACTGCTTTAGGGCCTATGGGTACACACATCTTTGCTTACTTAGCTGGGCCTCTGCAGATGGAAGGCCTGCCTCGGCCGTGCCTGGCATACCTTCGTGCCCGTCAAGGCAGGGATGGTGCGCGCTGGACGAAGCTGCGAACACTGGATGCTCCAAGGCCCCATACTTTTGAGACTTGATAGCAGCCGTTCATGGGAATTTATGAGCTTCCTCCTGTGAAGATTTCGATCCTAAAGAGAAGCAGCATTTTCCCAGGCTTGTCTTTGCTTATGCCGAAGCCGACCGAAGAAGACTAAACTATGTCTTCCAGATCTGCCCCACCTCTGCAAGCACCGAATGTGCTGAAGGTGCTCTGCAAGCCCGGCAGGCTCCCAGCTAAGGACCTCGCAGGTTCATTTTTTGCTGATATCCTCACCGTTGGTCGTTGCGCCGGGCCGAAGACTGTGGAGGACCACTTATTCTTCGACATTTGGTGACGTGGGAGGGTTTACCAAGGATGTTCAAAGGTCGGGTCAAAAGCCCTAGGGACGCAGGAAGAGAAAATCTCGGTGGGTGTGTATGTAGGGTGCTGCACGCAAGAAATCCACGAGCCTTCCTCAAGCAAGCTCGGCTTCACAGCACCCGCTAGTCACAAGAAGCAGTCGTCCCCAGAACTGTAGCTGCAGTCCCCAGGAACTCTTCCAAGAGGTCAATGCTGGCCCCGCCGACCTGCAGCACAAACGTGGGGAACCACTGGCGAGACTAGGAATCGCCGCGTTGAGAAAAAGGCCTCTCCACAGACCCTCAAGCTTCGCAGCCACCAAACCTTGCAACCTCCAACCAACTGCCCTCCCCGCCGGCTCCCAGCGTCCCGGCGCGTTTCGCCTTGCAGGACAAGCCGCTTGCAAGAAAAGCAGTGCAGGAGCAACAGCCCCGACAGGAGCAGGAGCAAGATCCTCCCCCGTGTGACAGTTGAGAAAAGCCTAACTTTCGATCCTTTATTAGGCGAGCGGGGCACCGGCAATTGGGGGTAAAAGGATTAAGTCTTTATGGTGTCAAACGCACACACTACAACTTCAAGCTCTGTGCCTCGAGTCCCAAACCCGAAGCCCTGCAACAAAAAACACTTACATCCACGGAGATGTTGAAATCACCTGACCACAACAACCCCTGTTTCCGCATCCAGACCTTCTTGACAGCATGCCGGGACTTGCGGTGCCCAACCCAAACCCGGCAGGATGCTTGGGCGTCTCGGCTGTGTTGCGACTTGCGATATCTACCCGACACTCGCCTCGGCCGTGGGCGGCCTGGTTTCGGCACTGCCGGCGGGGCTGCAGGCGCCGGCCCTGTCAAAAAAACGAAACATGAAGTTCATGGGAAGTGCACAACACGAGCAAGAGGTTGAACACGATGAGTTGTGGAAGGTTGCCTGTCTGCCCCATGCAGCGCTCCACGTCTTGCTCTGCCTGTCACTGCATCAAGGCTTCAAGGTTTGAAGGCTCAGGCAGAAGCAGCTTACCTGGAATCACTTAACGGTTTCGGCTACTAGCATCGATTCCATCGCGGCTGACACGCATGCAGGCTACACATACTTCTCGAGATTTCCGCGTGTACCAGCAATTGGCAACTTCGCGGCTTAGTTCTCGACAGCCGCAAGTGACTTGCGGGTGACAAGAATGGTGCAAAGCACAAGTTCCGCTGTCAGATGGTCGGTGATCTTGCGTGGGAACCCCGACCGTTGGTCCAAACAACGGATGGCGAGTCCTTCCAAATTTCGGCCTCTGATAAGGGATTTACTGCAAAGCTTTGGCTGCGAAGCAAAATCAAACCAGCAGATGATTCTATTTCTATTCTCGCAAGCTCGGAGACTTGCCAAATAGAGATTCGAGGTTTGTAAGATTCAGGAGTCGAAGTCCACGATGCTGATAGGTTCCCCCAAGACATACCGTCATCTCCCTTGCCAGTACCTTCTGCTCCTGGCAACGCTGGAGCGACTCTGGTGGCAGATCGCCTGGGGCACCTGAAAAGAACCGCACACACCTCCGAATGAATGTTTTGCTGCTTCCGATTCCCCTTCTTAGCCTGTTGCACCCGACAGTAAACCTTTTGCCCTGAACCCCTAATAGCCCTAATCATGAGCGCTAAAACCTGAACCACTTCCGCAACACTCCAACGGCAGATACTGATAAATACATTCGAAAAGTCAGTAGAGAAGAGTCGCTTGCAACTCATGCGTGGTCACGGGCTCCAATCCAGTTCTGCCAAGTTGCCGTCCCAGTCCGTGGGTGCGTGGAAGTGATGGTGGTGGTGAACATGGTGATGATCCACAAAGACCTTCCACCCAACGCGAAGACAGGAGAGAAGGGGCACCAACAACAAAAGCACGATCACCTTTCATCAACAACAAAAGCCCGAGCACCATTATTGTCGTGATTGCGGTCCTCCCACTGACTGATTGGCTGTGTTCAGCCATCGAAGTTTACAGTTCATTCACTTCCACGAAGCTAGGAGTGCGACCACCCTTCGTGGCTTCTCGTCTGCGGGCCCCCGGTGACCTGCAACAAGTTGCGGGAAAGAAGGAACCGACCTCAGTTCTTGCTGGTATGGTGACGTGCGGAGAAGTTGTGAAATCGCGATCGTCTTCTGAACTCTCAGGCACCATTCTTGCTTCTTGTGACCTCGATCTGCGGACGTGCCCCGTTCCATCAATTTATAACTTAATGGGCTTTGCCTACAACAGCATGCTTAGACTAATCTGTTCCACTCGCCCGTCAATGCACCTCGACCACGCGTCACGGGCCGTGCCGTAGGGTGCCTGGGAGAGCTGTGCAGCATGGAATGGATCAAGCAGCCACAGGTTTAAATTTCGGAACGTCATTGTTGGACCTGAAGAGCTAAGGCCTCGGGACCCGGGGCGGCAATTGAAGACATCGATCCTGCAGGACTTCGTGCCGCGACGGCCCAGATCTGCCTAGGCACTCATCGTTGCTCCGCTCCCGGCTCAGATCGTCCAGCGGCTCCTTTCGGCACCCACACTCAGACAAGCCAGGCGGGGTTTTGAGAGACGAGGTGAAAGTAGGAGCAAGCCAGTGATGTGCAGGTAGTAGCAAGCGTCGTATGCAAGAATAAAACACACCCAAGCAAAAGCCAACCAATGTCCCAACAGAGCGAAATGGATCCTGCTCGCTGGCCACCTCGGCCCCCAGGTCTGTAAAACCCGTTGCGAGATGCAATTACCCTTCCTGCCTGCTCCATGACAATCGGCCCTCAGGCTTCGCCCATGGCCTCAGTGACGACAGTAGGAAAATTGAAAAGACAGCTCTCCCCACATACCACCTCAAGACCGCAGTAAACGGCTCCCTTCCCAGCTGGTGTCCATGGAAAGTCCAGGGAAGCAGTCCCTGTTGCAACCTTCGTCGATCGTGTTTGGGGAGTTTGAATGTTGAGTTGAGATCCTGCAAAGCCGCCGGGCGGTCAGGCATGCCAGCTGCAATGGCCACTGCGGTTGGCTTCCAAATCCAACCGACACTTGGAAACCGCCTGTGGCAGCGACGCTGCCAGACGTCATGCAATGGTACTGAGAGAGGAAACGGAATATTTAGTCTGGTCGCTTGCCGCGGCGCGGCAGTGAGCTGTTTCCAACCCGGTTCTGAGCTCGAGGAGCCAAATGGCAGCCGGCAGTCGTGCTGCGACACCGTGTTTCGGTCAAGCACATGTGCATATGAACTGGGTATTCGCTGACTGCCAAGGCTGGCCATATACCTGTGTCCAGATACAGTTCTGAGTTTATCTTGCTAGCACGTCTTGCTTCGCCAGATTTGCTCGCGACGAGCGTCTCATGTCGAAACAAGAGAGCCGTTGTCTTTCCTGCTCTTGCACTGCAGGAGAAGTGGTAAGCTGCTGACGAGTTCAAAGTTCAAAAAAGGTACCTCTGCAACCCGCGCCTCTTTCACCGGGCCGGCATCTGCTCTCGGCTCCTTGGCACACTGTGATGCAATTGAATTTGCCTGTCTGGGAGGAAAACTCTCATACCACAGATCGTCGTGCTTTAGGAAATTATTTCCCATGGTTGCGAACAGACTTAAACCCTACATCCCAAACCCTGCGCTCTAGGATCCTGTAGCGGCTGCTCTCATGAAGCCAACGCCCAACTGAGGAATGCTCGCATCGTCTCGCATCCCTGAGGGCCCGGCCCTGGAGGGCTGTGATTTCAGGCCTTCGTCCCACACGGCCACACGGCCACCGCCACAGATTTACCCATAGGCCCCATAGTAGTTCCTTTTTGGGGGTCATATTTAGGATCCTATATGAGGTACTCCCAAAAAGGAACTACTATGGGGCCTATATGGGTAGAGTAGGAGAGCAAGCTGCGTGACAGCGACTCACAGACTCCGACTCCACTGGTATAGCTTCCTTGCCCATCAACATCCTATGCTCAACCAATGAGCAGCCTCCTTGTTGCTTGTTGCCCTCAACCCTTACATTGAGCACGCACCACATTGAACCACACACGGGGCTGTCCTACATGAGCATTTGCGCACCTCCTGGCGCCTCCTTGCCCACCTGCGCTCAAGTGCAGAAACGTTTGATGCCTGATTCCTCTTGCGATATGCTCCATGGACACAGTCGCAGACTTCTGAAAGTTTGGGGCCGCGGCAGATGAGGCCGTTGCGCCGGCTGCTTTGGCCGGTAGCGGCCTGCAGACTCATGCGTGTACACAGACAAGTTTTCAAATTGATTCCAGCAGGCTCAAGCAATGGACACGATTTCTACCATGCAGTCTCCGCACTGACTGCAGAAGCCCGTGAAATGGAATACCGTTCAACCCAAGCTGTTACAAGCCGGGTGCCAACATCAAACCCGGAAAGACAACGCACATTCATGCGAAAGCAAAGTTGCTTGTGCCCAGACACAAAAGGCAAATGCGATGAGTACAGAATACTCATGCTAGACCGCCGAGTCCCACGCTGAACTTCATCAGCCTTGGTGTGACATCGAGCACAATACTTCAGGCACCGACATGGAGAAGAGACACGCCGGCACAGATCAAGATCTACTGAGTCTACTTCGACTTGTGTAAAGAAGCCCGAACCTTCTGCCACACACGAAATGGAATTTGCCAAACCCCACTGCATCAAATCTTCGTGTCCGGCATACTTTGCTGAGCGCCGGCTGCCCAATGCAACGCAGCCCATCCTGGCAACCGCACTACGACCGTTGCAGCCAGTTTCGGATGAGACACAACTCGATGACGAGATTGGGGACGGTTTCCGGAGTTTCCGGACAGCTCCGTTCTGACACTGATGTGTTCGCAACCTGAGAAGTTGTCCAGATGCCACAGAATGCCGGTGAAGCTATAGCCTTACATCCTCGATGACTTCGGCTGCGGCAGTCCATGGCGCAAACTCCAGGCTGGCCACAGACCGGCCATGCTAATCGAAAGGCTTCTTACACTATGTCATCATGCGCGAGATATTGATGGCCTTCTCCACAGAAGGCTGTGTGAGTCATTCAGACGACGCCATGGCACGACATGGCGGCATGAACTCACGAGTCTTGCCGGGTGCTGCCAAACATTAGACATCTTGACTTCAACTCGGCTGAGCGGCCTGAATCACATGTTTCACCTTCCCGAGTGCATCTATATCACTCAAGCCTTTTAATCAAACTCTTAATCAAGCACTTGCTTGGGTGGATGTCCGCCTTTGGTCGAGTCATGGCCGAGTCTGGAGATGCTGAAAGCCCCTAATTAAGGCGGAAGAGCTGTGTGGTCGACATGGAGGAAAGTTCCAGAGTTCCAGATGACACATGTCTGCCTTGTCTTGAAAGGCCGGGGAGTCGGAAGGCTTGCTGGAAAACTGCACTTGTCGAACAGGCTGAAGCGATGATTTAAGAAAGACTGCCGAGGCCACGTAAGGCAGAAAAGACAACTTCAAGTCCCACGCCCAGCCCACGCCTAAGACTGTGAAAGCTTCCAGAGACGAGGTGACTAAGTAGCTGACAGGTCATGGCTGCTGCCAGTCCCGGGAGCACAAAAGAAACACGAGCCCAGGGTCCGTGACGATTTGCACACGACTTCTGCAATCATGTTGCATGTTCACCCGCCGCACCTCAGACAAGTAAAGGAGAAACTCAGCTCTTTTCTTACGCGGTGCTGAAGCAGACAGAAATGGAGCTTTTTTCAATCCTGACGCTGTCGACTGAAGAATGAATCGGGCAGCGCGCCACGAGCTTTAAGACATCAGCTCCCTCGCCCGGACCCTTCGGGTGGGCTCACAGAATCGAGCTGCGAATCGAAATTGAAAAGTCTCCACTTTCAAGCTGCGCAAAGCTATAAACCAAAGTCGGGGTACCTTGACTTGTCTACACCGCTGCATGATGTGCCACGATGTCCTCGAAAGAAATCAACAGCACAGGATTCGAGTAGAGAGGTCTCTAGCGAACGCGCGGAACACGCATTTGGCCTTGCGGCTGTGACCTTCTGCCCTATGTCTGAGCCGATGTAGCTACCGATATCATGTCCATGATCGGGAACAAAGGAGTGTGCTGAGGCCAAACGCGGCTGCGGAAAACTCGCAACCGTCGACATCCAAGTCTGTGCATCAAGCTGCAGGTTGCACTGGGAAGTGCGACGGTCCCATGCGCTATTTCACTGTTGGCCTATGCAAGCTGGTGCGGACAAACCTGCACTCCTGCGCTGGCCCCTGCTGTGTGCAGAAGGCCGGCGTGTGTGCTGTACGCAGGCCAGCCCGCCGCTCATGCTTGGACCGAAGCACATTAAGTCATTGGCAACACGACTTTGAAGATTCGTCCTGTTCTAACTGGCACATCCTTGCCCCAGGCCAAGCCGAACTCGGAGAGGACTCCTAGCGAACTCCCTAGGCCCCAGGCTGCACTCCCGCTCCTGTGCCACAGCACAACAGCTGTCATCCACAGCCCGAGGTCAAGTTCACAGGCATCGACCCCAGAGCAGGGTTGGAGCGCTGTCATTCAAGATGTTTTCCAAAAAGCTTGGAATACTCTAACGGCACATCTCTTGTGACAGAAAGTTCAACCGACCACTGGCATCCAACCCGGTCGGAAGTTTCGGCTGTCGACGGCAAGAGCAAGAAACTACAAGAATGCTTTCTGAGGGTTGCTGGACGAAGGGTTTCGTTTCTGGGTACGGGGCCTATACTATGATCGTGATACAGGGCCTGAGCACAAGGCCCTTGCATCTGACGAGTGCCTTGTAAGCACCGGCGTGATTTGACAAAGGATTGCTGGCCATGCTTCGCATGGGCTGTCCAGGACATCGACTCTTCCGCCAGAAACACAGCCTATCGAAGACAACAGGCTGCATCATCTGGCATCACCTGTCCTTAGCCAAAGCCACCATGCGCCCCTAGCACAACTCCGACGCGAACTTTAAGAGACCGAGGCTCAGGCAATGCTGAATGCCCATGTCGTCGAAATGGCTCTTCGGCATTCGCAGATTCGGAACTTGACTGCTTTCGAAACTGATTCTATGCATGTAGATGCTCGAAATGTCTAGGCCTCGTTGCTGGGCATCAAAACCAGTGCGGGATCAAGTGTCAAGGATGGTCAAGACATGAACACGGTCCAACTGACAATCAACAGGGATGCTTCTGCTATCACTACCTGTCGTAGCGCCATGGGGGAACGTCTGGTATAGATTTAACCGCTGGACCCGGAATCTGAGACTGCGGAAGACTTACCAGCAAGCAGCCGAGGTCTCCATTTACCGGCGAGGGATGAGGGTACAGGGCATACCTACTTTGTTCGCTGTGAGTCTGTGGCAAAGGCCAGTCAAGTCGGCTTTGGAGACATCGACCTCAACCTGCTAAGGATCGGGAAGATCAGCGAGACGAAGGTGACCCCTGGACGACCTGGGAGATTGTCAATCAAGGTACGGCTTTGTGGCACTGTACGAGCTTTGGTGGTGAGAATGCATTCCGATGTCGGTGCAGTGTGTGTGTGTGCATATGTATGTATGTATG